GGCGTTGGGTTTGGGACTTTCTGGGTGGGTTTTGGGTGGATTTAGGGTGAAATCGGGAGAGTTTGGTGCAGGCGGGAGGGCAGGTTCTGGACAGGGCTGGCGGTTTCTGGATGGATTTGGGGTGCATTTGGGGTGACTTTGGGGGCTGGGCAGTTTTGGCACGTTTTGTCCAGGTTTGGGGCTGGATTTGGGGAGAATTTGGGTGTTCTTAGGACACAATTTTGCCTGTGATTGGAGGCTTTGGGGAGTGGGGGGCTTTGACTGCATTTGGGGTGACTGGTGGGTTTTTACTTCGATTCGGGGCATCTTTGGGGAGAATTTGGGTGGGTTCCGGTAGGGTTTGGAGGCGGAGGGGTGAGGGGGGGCACTGGATTTGGGGTAGATTTGGGCTTTCTGCCTGCTTTACGGGGGGGTTTTGGTGGAGCTTTCGGGCAGGTTTGGGGCCAGATTCGGGGATTTTGGGGGGCTGCTCATCGCGATTCCCGCCCGCAGGGCCCTGCAGCGGGAGGCTGCTCTGTGCCAGCAGCTCCTGCTGCGTCGTGGGGTCCCACCAGGACCCGTCCTGCTGCTGCGGCCCCGGCTTCTTCTTGCGTCCCCTGAGCAACACCACGTTTGACTGCTTGGGTGCGGGCGCCGTTTGGGCCCATTTCGAGGGATTTTGGGGTGTTTCTGCGTTCCCCCCCATCCTGACGGCTGCCGTTCCGCAGACGTGGATGAGTGCGCGGGTTTTCCCTCTCCGTGCCCGGCCCGGTCCGTCTGCATCAACCAACCCGGCTCCTTCGCCTGCCTCTGCCGGCCGCGGTGCGAGATCGGTGTCCCCGGTGTCCCCAGCCCCGTGTCCCCTCTGGGGGGGTGCAGGATCGAGCCCCATGTCCCCAATAGGGTAGGGTGTGAGATCAGTGTCCCCAGTGTTCCCGGTGTCCCCAGTGTCCCCAGCCCCGTGTCCTCTCTGGAGGGTGCAGGATCAGGCCCCATGTCCCCAATAGGGTGCGAGATCGGTGTCCCCGGTGTCCCCAGCCCCGTGTCCCCTCTGGGGGGGTGCAGGATCGAGCCCCATGTCCCCAATAGGGTAGGGTGTGAGATCAGTGTCCCCAGTGTTCCCGGTGTCCCCAGTGTCCCCAGCCCCGTGTCCTCTCTGGAGGGTGCAGGATCAGGCCCCATGTCCCCAATAGGGTGTGAGATCGGTGTCCACGGTGTCCCCAGTGTCCCCAGCCCCATGTCCCCCCCCACCAGTGGGGTGCAGGATCTGTCCCCGTGTCCCCCCCGCAGGATGCAGGACCAGACCCTGTGTCCGTCCCCAGTGCAGGATCTGTCCCCATGTCCCCCCTGCCTGCCATGGGGTGCAGGGTCTGTCCCCATGTCCTCCCTCATGGGGTGCAGGATTGGACCCCATGTCCCCAGTGCCGCCTTCAGAATCGGGCCCTGTGTCCCCAATGGGGTGCCAGACGCGTCCCCCCGTGTCCCCTCTCCCTGGGGTGGCCCCGGGGCCAGCGCTGAGCCCCGGGTCCCCCCAGAGCGGCTCCCCACGTGTGACGTCGGCTCCGCGCAGGACGCGGCTCCATGGAGGCTCTGCAAGCGCCCAGCCCTGGGGGTACACGCAGTGCCGCCTTCAGAATCGGGCCCTGTGTCCCCAATGGGGTGCCAGACGCGTCCCCCCGTGTCCCCTCTCCCTGGGGTGGCCCCGGGGCCAGCGCTGAGCCCCGGGTCCCCCCAGAGCGGCTCCCCACGTGTGACGTCGGCTCCGCGCAGGACGCGGCTCCATGGAGGCTCTGCAAGCGCCCAGCCCTGGGGGTACACGCTGCCTTTTGGGTGGAAAAAGACCCGTTTTGGGCAAAACCAGCGCCTCTTTGGGTGCAGAGTGCAGAGGAGGCATTTGGAGTGGGAAAAAAGGGGATTTTAGAGGTGTGGAAAGTGCTCTGGGGAGGCATTTTGGGGACGGTTTGGGAGTAGAGGGTGCATTTGGGGTGGGAAAAGGGAGATTTGGCAGTGAAGGCTCGTTTTGGGTGGAAAAAGGTCTGTTTGGGGCAAAACCAGAGCTGCTTTGGATGCAGAAAGGGCGTTTTTGGTGGAAAAAATGAGGCTTGGGGGGTGGGAGAAGCCCTGGGGGGGCATTTTGGGGATGATTTGGGGTGAAAAAAGAGGGAAATTGGTGTTAAAGTGTCGTTTTGCGTGGAAAAAGATGCTTTGGGGTAAAACTGGGTCTGCTTTGGATGCAGAAGGGGACATTTGGGGTGGAAAAGGGGGGATTTGGTATTGAAGACTCATGGGATGGGTGGAAAAAAACCTGTTTTGGATGCACAGAGGGCGCTTTGGGGCAGAAAAGGGTGTTTGGGGTGAGCAGAGCACTCTTGGTGAGGGATGTGGGCCTGTTTTGGTTGAAAAAGAGCCTGTTTTGGGCAGAAAAGGGCTGCTTTGGGGTTTGGGGAGGATATCCTTGGTGTGGCGAGGGTGCATTTTGGGTGGAAAGGGGCCCGTTTTGGGACAGAAAGAGCTGGTTTTGGGGCCACCAGGACGACATGGGCGGCTTGTGCGGCATCTTCAACGCCACAGCCCGGCGGCTACAGGCGGTCTGCGGTGGTGGCAGCGGCCCCGGCGGCAGCGGTGACAACAGCCTGCAGGTCGGTGCCAGCCCCCCGTGTGCCCCCCGATGAGCAGGTCCCCCTTAGACACGGACGTGTGCACCCCCCCATGCACACGTGTGTGCATCCCCCTTGCACACGCATGCATCTCCCTTGCACACGTGTGCATCCCCAACGCACATGCATGCACCTCTGTGCCTTCCCGCATGCAAACGCTTGCACCCCATGCACACGTGCATGCACCCCCATGCACACATGCATGCATCACCCCCTTTGCACACGTCATGCATCCTGTTGCCACACGCGTGCATCTCCCTTGCACACATGTGCACCCCAATGCACACGCGTGCACCCCGTGCCTTCCCGCATGCAATTTTTGCACCCCACGCACACGTGCGTGCATCCCCCTTGCACACACGTGCATTCCCCATGCACACATGTGCACCTGCCCATGCACACGCGTGTGCACCCCCTCCATTGCACATGGGTGCCCCTACCCCGTGTGCTCCCCCCGCAGGAAACCCTGGCCCCGCTCGTCAATGTGACAACGCGGCTGCAGCAGGAGCAGCGCCCCGAGGCCACGGCGGCCGCCCAGCTGCTGCTGGAGGCCACCGAGGTCCTGGTCCTGGAGGCCGCCACGCACCGGGCCGAGCTGACGCTCCAGACCTTTTCCACGGATGCAATGAGTAGGTGACGATGCCACGGCCCCCCCATCCCTCCTCACACCTTGCACGCTCGCCACTCGCTTGTTGCACGCTCAGCGCTCGCTGCATGCTCACTTGGTGCACGCTTGTTGCATGTTTGTTGTGCACTTGCCACTCATTTGTTGCATGCTTGCTGTGCACTTGTTGCACGCTTGTTGCACGCTTGTTGTACGCTTGCCGCTCATTTGTTGCACGCTTGCTGCTTGCTTGCTGCTTGCCTGTTGCACACTCACCACCCCCTCGTCACTCGCTTGTCGCGTGCTCATAGCGTGCCTATTGCATGCTTATCGCATGTTTATCGCGTGCTTGTTGTGCACTTGACACTCGGTCACGGCTCGCTCATCGCATGCTTGTTGCACACTCGTGCTTGTTGCACACTTGTTGCATGCTTGTTGCACGCTTGCTGCTTCCTTGCTGCTCGCCTGTTGCACACTTGTTGCACACTCACCACCCCTCGTCACTTGCTTGTCGCGTGCTCATAGCGTGCCTATTGCATGCTTATCGCATGTTTATCGCGTGCTTGTTGTGCACTTGACACTCGGTCACGGCTCGCTCATCGCATGCTTGTTGCACACTCGTTGCACACTCGCTGTGTGCCTGTTGAGTGCTTGCCGCTCGTTGCATGCTTGTCACACGCTTGTTGCATGCTCAATGCTCGCTTGCTGCTCGCTCGTCACGTGCTGCTGCACGACGCGGCACGCGTGCGGTGTCGCGTGCCCCGCGTTTCCTTACCGCGGTTCAAACCCGCTCGCCGCTTCCCGGAGGCGCCGGCGCCGTGGCCTTCATCGCCTACCGGGAGCTGGAGGCGGCCTTGGACGTGGGCAGCGCCGAGGGGGACGCGCCGTGGGAACACGGATGCATCCGTAGTTCTGTGCATGGAGTCACACGTGGCGACGTTCTGGGTACCCGGCACGTCCAAGCGCAAAGGAGGGTTTTGCAAACACCACTGGGAACACGGATGCATCCATAGCTCCGTGCACAGGGTCACGTGTGGTGGCGTTCTGGGTACCCAGCGCATCTAAGCGCATGGGAGGGATTTGCAAACACCGTTGGGAACACGGATGCATTCGCAGCTCCGTGCATGGAGTCACACGTGGTGGCGTTCTGGGTACCTGGTGCATCCAAGCGCACGGGAGGGATTTGCAAACACCGCTGGGAACACGGATGCATCCGTAGCTCTGTGCACAGAGTCGTGTGTGGTGACATTCTGGGTACCTGGTGTGTGCAAGCACACAGGAGGGATTTGCAAACACCGTTGGGAACACAGGTCCATCCATAGCTCTGTGCACAGAGTCACACGTGCTGACGTTCTGGGTACCCGGCGCGTTCAAGCGCACGGGACAGATTTGCAAACACTGCGGGAATTGCAGCCCCATCCGCTGCTCCGCTCACGGCGCCGTTTGGGGTGCCCGGAAGGCCCCAGCGTGCCGGATTTGCACCCCGGGAAACGCGGATGCGCCCGTGGCTCCGTGCGCCGCCCAACGCGCGTGTCCCCCCAGGATCC